TATGGCTCCCTGAATATTGAATGAAACATTGTGTTATTTTTCGAAACACGAATATGAATCTAAACTAATTTTTCTCTTTTTTTTTTTGCAATTATGTTTCCGACTGTGTAATTATTTTTCTTTGCATACGTTAGAAACAAAATTCCACCGTGCCCCGCATACTTATGAACTGATTTTATGCAAAGAATGCGCTTGCATCAGAGCAAGACGCAATTGAAATTATGTCAGCTTGGAATTTCAACGACGGTGCTCGCATCACGAGTAATGAAATCGCCATCCGCTTTTTTAATGCCGCAGTTACTTCCGACTTTCTAATGTCGGTTTATCGGCCTAACGATAATCGCGAGATGAATAATAATTTATCGCTGTCGCGTTGCATCGTCGACGCCATTGATTTTAATTTGATAATATAACAACGCAACAAACAAACGATCATAATATACAATGTATACGCGCGCGTTTTCTCGTCAACGTTAATCAAATATTTATTAATTATAGCAGCGATAGCAAAAAATTGAAAAATTATTATTATTTAAATAACGGATGTGTGCGTACGTTGTCTTACGCGAAAAAAAAAATGATGATGCGGAGCTGTATTAAAATATCTTGAAGATACTAGAAAGTAAAAATGCGACGATATACAAACTGAAAAGGGTGAGAAGCGGCAAAAGGATAAACTTGACTGTTCTTTCGACAAACGTTGGCACATACATACACATATATATGTACATATGTATATATCAATAAGCATTAAAATAAGCGTGTAAAGCCGATAAAGCACGATACGCCACTGATCTCGTCGACTATGCGGCAGATAAAGTCTCTTGTAGAGGTTTCTCTCTGCCGCCTTTCTAAAACAGCATTCATCGGAGAAATGTGAGAGGAGAAGCAAAGAATCGTCGCCGTTGCAGCCTGCAGCTATACTCCTGCCTGAGCATTGCCGTCGCCGTCTCTCTACAAATCGTTTTCGAGACGGTCCATTTATCCAAGATGACGTCTCCACGTCTCTAGACTCTAGACATTTCTCGCATACGCGAAATTGCAATTGCGACCAATGCGGCGAAAGTTCCGCTGCCACTATTACTCGCGTCATTTTCTGCCGAGATAATCGCGCGTCGCGCCAATAGGTGTCGATCAAATGGCAGCGGTAATGATCGATCGATCTTTCTTTTTTTTCCTCTATTAGCCATCTGACATCGAAACTTTCCTTTTTAACGTATGATTTGCGTACGCCGCATAACGCGCGAAGAAAGTTTCCAAGAAAAATCCCTGAGAGAATCTCTCGCGATGACTTAACTAGAAATTATCAAAGAAAGTAATCTGACCAAAATAAAAAGAAACCATTTAAGAAATAAAGAGTTGTCAATTTCTTTTTAATCGTGGATCAAATATCAAATGGAACTTGTTTCGATCAAATTATCTCTTTTGAGAGTTAATACGTCTCATTTTGTTATTATTACGTATGTAAATTATACTTGTCGTTACCGCTAAAATAATAACGCATATTATTTTATTAGAGCACAATACACATTATGGGAAGTAATAGCAAATCAAACAATAAAGTTAATTCCTAAATAATAACCGCATCTACGCCTAAAGTAATTGCGTGTATAATTATGTATACAAGAATTAAATGCAAGGGAAACTAACTATTAACCACGAGAATTTTTCTCGTTCGCCGAAAGGCATTATTCGCACTCGTCTAGTATAAATTAGCGAGTGATTGTTTAAAATGAAATTTTTTTTCTTTTCAACATCTTTGGATATTTTCTTGCAATTGTAATTAAAAAGAGAGAAAAAGATTAAACAAGATTGTAATATATACTGATAAATATCGCAATTTTTATTATGTGCATATCGCCATTCGAGAATAACGAGTGTATAATACGAGTGTAAAAAAAAAGAAAAGAAAAAAACAACAGTGACATTAAGTCAGATTATCGATGGATAATCATATAAATAAAGTTCATTAAATTTACTCGTTCTAGAAATAAGCCAAAGAAACGAGATAATCTTTTAATGGTGATAAATAATAATCTTGTAAAAATACACTGTGTGCAGAATATCTTTTGCTTCTTTCAAACTACAGATTGTTCGGTCAATGTTAATCAATTTTCTCCAGTGAAAATCTCGATAGGTCACATTTATCGCAGAAAGTGTGACAAATAGTGTAAAATCAATTTCTCTGTATGTATACTTTGTCTACTTATTGTGTATGTGCATTTTACATATAATATACTTGCAATACACACATGTCACGGAGAGAAAGTTCGGTTTACTTCGATTATCAATGTATGTGACTTTATCACAGCGAGTTGTGGTTGTTTTATATTCATAAAGTCTATTTGTTCAACAATGTCAACTGCATTCTCTCGATAGTTGTCATTAATTACGATTATTTCTAAAATAAATCTCATTTTCTTATTTAGTATATAGATAGATCTATATATATATTAGATATACATCTCGACTCATGATCTAAAATCCTTACATTTTCCCAAAATTACATGATTGGTTTAGGAGATGCGATCCATAATATTGAGACATGTTCCGATATATATGGTATGTAAATGCCTTTAATTCTTATTAAATTGACGTTTTATTTGACCCTTTTCAATTTTAACAATTTAGCAAAGTATCTTTTAAATTTTGTTGTACATTCGATCCTTATGCATTCTAATAAATCTCCTTACTTAATTTTAGGCATTTAAAATACGTGAGGCAAATATATCTGTTATAAGATTTTTAATATTTTATCGGATATAAAAGGAATAGTGAAATACTTGCTGTTGCTTAAACATGTATTTATCTTTTGCTTTAATTTGTCATTAAACAATATTTTTAGCAATGTTCTTTTTTATGCTGTTGAATACGAGATCCAATGTAATTATATTGTCTAAAAATATAAGTTTATGTAAAATGTCTGATATTTTTGACGAAATTTTAAATGAGAAAGTAGTAGCTTTATTCACCTCAAACCAGAAAAATCTATTCTAAAAATTAAATCGAGAATTACTATAAATATTATATATGTATTTTCGCATTTTTCTTTTTGTTATTAATATATATGGATATGCTATTAATATTTAGTATTATAGTTTTTATTAATCTTAATTTCTATTTCATCCCCTTTTATATTTTTTATATTTAAAAAAATAGTTTCTCTAATATTTCTTTAATAAGTATATATATATATATATATATATATATATATACTGTATATGTATTAACATACATGCAAAATCACAAGGGTATGATAAACTCTGTTCTGTTTGTGTGAGACAATCCATTTTTGATCTACCACAAAATAAACGCAAAAAAGTCGTTTTTAACGCGTTTCAAACGTTTCCGCGTAATTTGCGTGTGCACCTTGCGAACAATAATTATACTAAAGAGAAAGCTAAAACAATTATCTATTTTGCTGTTCTTTTTCTTTTCTTTTTAAAGAAATAGGGCGAAATGGGGAAGAATGATTCATCTTATGCGATTCGATAGTGAAAAAAAATTGTTAAAAAGATCAAGAGTTGAAAATCTAACAAAGAATTCTAAATCTAAGGAAAAATCGCTAGGCGTATGCTTATCGTAATAGTGAGGCATAGTTTGCAATCGAGCATTCCTAAATGATGAAATAACCTGATCTGACCTTTTCCATGGGCACTGTATATGTCCATTTGAGAAATTCACGATCTACATTATTCTCAGTGCCCCACAAATTATCTGATTTTCATAGCATCAAACAGACTATAAAATAAATTAACTAAATCACGAATCAGATACTTTTTAAAATTTGTAGAAAAATACATATTATAACTGTTAAAGCAAAAGATAATAATATAATATTTGCTAAAATATATTTACACAAATTTTAATAGCTCTTTTTAATATTACTTTTAATGTAAATAATAAAAAAAGAGGAAGTTAAACTAATATGTAGTTAAATTAATGTTTTTTCAGCATTTAAAATGTGAAATTTTTATGTCTGTATAATTATATTAAATAATTTGATAAATTAAAAAGAATACCAAACTGTGTATTTCGTTTACATAACTCGTTTGAATTATATTTCAGACGGAATGATTAAAAATTGAGGTCTCGAAGAAAAAAGGATCATTGATTAAATTGTGCAAGTATCGATAAAATTAATGCGTGCGCAATACAATATAAGAATAATGTTCTTTTTTTGTCAAACGGAAATAATATATGTGTGTCCTAATAATCGGCGGAGAAGCATCGTTTATAAATAATTCATCTATAGGTATTTATCAATTTTCAAAGAGAAAAATTTGACGCCCACCATCTCATTTCTATTAACAATGCAGAGAAATGTCATCTTTCCATCTTTTTCCCCTTATATAAATACAAATAGCAAACCTCCGCAAAAACATGCACAATGCAAGAGAAATAAAATTGCAAAACCATATGATAATATTGTGAATCTTGCATGCTGAACGCAATGAAAAGTCTACGTTTCAATATTAGCAACATTCTTTTGGAATTTGCAAGAGAAAAGTGGTCAAGTATAAGACATAACACAGCACTTGACGCAACTGATAAGTAAAATGACCAATCCGACATTAATATATATTATAATGCAAACTACATGATACTAGAATACTAGATATATCTACGTAAAGAGAATCAATTAAAAAGAAACAAAAATATCATTAAATTCCTATCGCGTTCCTTAATTTCTTGTGCTTTATTAAGCGGACGTTATAATAGTCACTTTGATGGCGACAATTCCATCTTTGCCGTTATGCAAAAATTAGGTGCATATATGTATAGTTAATTAAGAAATGTATTATTCAAACGATCAAAACTGAACGCATCATTATCGCGATATTAAATAAACGGTAAGAGTTATAATCATTTATCATCTATTATTATTATTTGTTTTTAAGATTACATTATTATAATTTTACTAATTTTATTGTTTTAATTATTTAATTTAATGTTTAAAAATTATTGCGCTTAAAATATTACCTCATTTCGTTAAAATTTATTTCAAGAAATTCGCCATTATATCATGTCAATGCACAATTCCATCTCTACTCTTCCTTCTCCGCGTACCATTCCTTCTGATGTTTCTTAAGGATCAATTCTTGCGTTACTCCTTGCAATTATTGCTACATTATTAATTATTAATATATTTTAATCAACCTGTTCTCTTTGCTACATTTTTTACTCTCATCTACATATGAAAATGTAGATATATTGTCCTTTTTAAATTTTTTATAAAAAAGAAGGTCTCGACTTGAAAGAATTCGCAGAGACATTTGTACATCGTCATAATTGCATATAGTTAATTGCGCAAAGTATTAGAAAGTGTCAATGACTTAATGGCTCAGAGAGCGCTCGATGCAATCGATGCCGCATCTTGCATATGTATGTCGCATCTTCTTGAGTAGGTAGGCAGCATAGGTAGCACATATAACTACATCGATGCAATCGAAGCGCGGATAACAAATACACGTGGCTACACCGCCCTCCTTCAGACACGAATACCGTTCATTTTAACGTGGAAATGTGGGAGTGTGAGAGTGGGAATGTGGGAATATGCGTCAACGCGCCAATCGATGTAACAATTCTACCGTTTTAATCGCTAGACATAAAATTTGCATCCACTATGCTATTATAATATTTCGAGATAAAGGAATGTAGATATCCTTGTAACGAAATATTCAAAATCTAAATATCAAAAGCTAAAATATTCAAATCGCTTAAATGATGGAAATATTTACTTTTATTTATCGAAATCCCTTAGCAATAAATATATGATACGATCAAATTTGAATCAAGCGACCAATTTTTGATAACATTGTCGGTGCAGAAATTTTCACCGCAGTGCAATTTCGTATCTGACCACCCGAAATGACACGAATGAATTTATCTAAAATCCAACGATTTATCGTAGTCTATCGGATTCTATCGTAGAACAATATATTTATATAGATGTTCCTTTCACCCAAGTAGCTCTCGATCGAAAAATTAGAAGGAAAAGGAACAGACTAGAAGAAAGACGAGGAAAAGAAGAACTACTTATACTAGAGTGTAATCGCTAAAGAACGGTTCTTTATGTAGTCGAAAGTCTTACGATATATATATATATATACTTTTATCGTGACGCAATCCATTTGCTATGTGCGACTGTCTCCGCCGCGTTGTCGCGCAGAATTTCAATATAATGCGCAATCTGTTGTACTCACCGAAACGATGATCTCTTTTCCCCAAGACAATCTCACCCAAGTAGCAATCGCATTTCCTCGAAAAAGACACCCCGATCTCGTCCACGGTCCTTAAGTTTGTCAAATAAATGCTACAAAAAAAATACTCGCTTGTAAAAGTTGTCATTAATTATTGATAATTTGTTAATGAAAACACAAAGTTTACCATTTCTTCCATTTGGCGTTCACTCTTACGGAATCGTAAGGTAGAATCGACTTTAGATCGCCATCGTTACCCAGAATCAGAACAGGGTCAGATTTGTGAAACTCATTCATCAAGGTTCCAAATGTGTAAACGATGGTTGCCTGGATGTTATATTTCACATCAATATGAATTAAGAACAACCTGTAACCATAATTTATAATTAATCGTTAAGAGTATTGTGTTTCACTGCTAAAATATGTATATTTTTTGTTACAAATTATTATTGTTCAAAATAAAGATGTATGTTCTCACCTATGATATAATCTGTGATCTCTAGTCATTAATTTCAAACATCCACCACCATTGTAGGAGAATTGATCGCAAAATTCGTAAGTATTGACGTCAGGAACAGGTAATTTTTCTTCAAAATTAACGACATTGTCGCATACTCGTACAATATTCTTCCTATTTTCGTAAATTCGTTCTATACGTGTACGTGGCTTTTTAACATCATTATCTTTTTCACCTTGGCTGTTATTAACTTTATCGTCATTTTCGACATCTTCGGTAAGAGTTATTTGGGTAGATCGCGTAAATTGTGAATGTGGCGCGGAAACTGTCAGTTGCGGTTGCTGCATTTGCAAATTATAAAACGTTCTTCTTCCGTGTGCGCTTTCGCCGTTTATCTTGTATGGTTCGAAATACTCCTAAACATAAAAATGAAACTACATGCTTCTTACGAAATAGTAAATTATTTCAAATTAAAAACAAATTTTTTTATTAAATATCTCAAGTATTTTGTAGTTGTATATTTTTTAGTATTTTCAAATATATATATATTACCTCGCCATTATAATAATAGCAAATACCGGCACCACGGCAAAAGGAAGTCTTAAATGTTTCATCCTCGTAAATTGATACGTGTACATATAGGTATGGAAACAATTGAGCCCAAAATAAATCCTCTAGCACTTGGAAAGTACTTGGACCAAAGTACTCATGAGTCCAACCAGGAGCAAAAATAGCTACGGAAAGATCCTGTTTCCGTATTAGATCTAACGCCTTTAACGATAAAAATTTTTTGATATTATCTCGACTTAATATTTTTTAAGATAATACGGTAATAATAATAGTACTAATAATAATAGTAGTGTAATAATAATAGTATTTACATATGCCGAGTTAAATCCACCTCCACCTGGGCACCCTCTTCCCCAAACATCCAATCCTACATAAATATCCTTAACATCGCGGCCCAATTCCTTTGCAAACATACGACTATTGCTGAGTTTCGATTCCGTCCAATTGTAATTTAAAAATATACCATCGCAATGTAAGAAAAATTCTCTAAAACAAAAATATCAAATAATCATTATTAAAATGTGTGTTAAAAAACCTAAAATAGAAATGTTAAATTCAATTTTAAATAAAAATCAATAAAATTAATATATTAAATTACTTGTTATTCTCATTTAGTTCGTTTTGCCACTTCAGTTCGCCCTTATTAGTAACACTATCATACCAGATAATTTCTGAATTTTCTATCTCTTTGTGAATATTCTCTGTTAAATATTTAACAAAATAAATTAAATTATCAATATCTTCCTGCTTAATTTTATTTTCAATATTCAAAAGCCAGCCTTCAAATTGGTAACATTTTGCGACCAATATTAGCGTGTTTGCAAATTTTTTTGCATCCTCTTGTGATGCAAGGATCGTATTCCATGTATCATTATTTCCTTCTGTAATAATAGTACCCAATACTTTTACACCATGATGGTGCGCTGCATTGATCCACCCACAGGGTGGGATAGTTACAAAGTGATGGCTGAAATAAATAAATGTATCGACAACACTCCAGTGATAAAATATATAAGAGTCATGAGAGGTAGAGCCTGATAAAAATCTGTAAAGAGATATAAAACAAAGAAAGTATTATAGACATGATCACAATTTGTAATATATTTCGCACACTCATATATATATATATATATATATATATATATATATATATATATTATTACCTGTCTTCCAAGTAACCACCTTTCATGTCATGGCAGACAAGTGTCCTAGGTTGTTCATCCCTGTCCACTTTTTCCAATGAAATTTGCTGTGCACTAATTTGTGAACCTTGGTACACATAATCAACCGACTCTGTGATATATGTTGTTGGTAACTCTGGTAATCCATTGTCTACAGCATTATACAACTCTGCTAATGTTTTAAAAGGCAATAATTCTCTTACTTCGGTACTATTTGCCATCTCTGTGGCTTCTAGTATACTATCATTATTGCATTCCATTGTGTTGTAAATTTCTCAGTAGTACGTTGGTGCACTGATCTTTTCCTGCATACGTATCACCGGAAAGCATGATAATTCATTCAAGAAAAAATAATTCCTGGTTCTTGATAGTGATATTCTTTGTGGTGAAATTAAAGTGACCATTACTATTACTCTTCTGATATAGTTATCTGCTGACAGTTATCATGTACGATGAATGACAAAGAACGGAAATTCGTTAAACTTTAATTGATATAAAAGTTATATCTTAAACTAGATTTGCAAAAAAGTTTCTTGTTGACACAAAATCAAACAATATTTACAAGATGTATGTATATAGTACAAAGAATTTCTTTTTATACAAACAAAATATACTTCATTACTTTAATATTAAAATATATTTTACTAATAAAATTTTTAGATACAAATATTTAGTGAGATATGTCAAAAATACCTTTAATTTTAATAAAATCTCAAATAATTCAAAAAAGAAAAAAGTTAAACATATATAATTTTAAAAATATGATTTAAAAGTATCATATTATATTTTTACATATACAATTATAAGATAAAACATGTGATCAAAAGTGCAATATCTAACGATAAAGATAAAGAAACGGAAATTTGAATGGAATAGATATAGATACACACAAGAGCGAACTAACCCTAACCTGACTGACGTCGCCTTGTACCTTGTACGTACTTTTGTGTTACTCCTATATATTCACAATCAGAGCGTTTCTTTTGGAACTCTTATATAAATTATGTATATTTCTATTATTATTGTGGGTGTGTGTGTGTGTGTTATGTAATAATATATAAAATATATTAAAAGTATTATATCAAGGACATGTTCCGATATATACTGTCAGAATCAGAACTTGAAAATCTAAATTTACGTTACGATATTCAGTAACGTAACGAGATTTTCAGTACTAGCAATGTATATTAGATGCTCTAAGCATGTGTGTAGTTAGTACAATTATTATTATATTATATATATAGCAAAATTTATAAGGAACTAGCAATACCTATTATTTTTTAAATATCTACGTAACTGAGTTAGCGTCTGCTAAGACTTGCCTTACTGCGCAGGCGCAAGAATCTCCCAATTTACTGGCGCGAATCATAATATAATTTGAATAATTTTTGCATTATAATTTGTTTATCTTGACGCTGTAAATAAATGCTTTTAATTGGACTAACCAGAAAATAAAGAAATTTTTATTCAATATTGTCAGTCAAAAGGTTTCAGCACTTACAGCGTCAAGCGATGTACATATACATAATGTGTGTATACGTATTATAATATTATTTTATCCATATAATTAAGTATAATTAATACGAATATTATATTAATTTATATAAATATTATATATATATGTGTGTGTATGTGTGTATATACATTATAGTTTGTGTTTTTCGATTATTCATAAATGACTATTCAAACACATCTTGTTTCTTCACTCTCTCTAATTTGGATAATACTTTATTGTCTAATGGTAAAATGTACATACCTAATTAAGTTAAAATGCATTTTAGTTAAAAATTAATTTAATTATTAGTATTTAATAAATTATTAAAAAGATTTACATATATAGAAATATATCATCACAATAAATAAATAAAATGCAAATATATATATATATATATATATATATATATAACATATTATAAATAACGGCAAAATATAAATATTGTATGAGATCTTTCTTTATTTGGATTACAACTATGTTGTTTTGTGATGACATATATAATCGCAGGAATACATTATTATATAAGCACAATATCGCGTATAAGATGATTGGAAGACATACAAGATGGTTATTCAAATGTGAACGGAAACAATTTATAATAGTTCAGTGATACATGTTCACAGAGATGGTCCCGCGATAATGTGCCGCTTTCGTCTTACAAGAATTTTTTTAAAAATTTACAAGCACACGAGGAGTGCTTCACTATGGTCGATTCGACAAATGTAGATTGTCGATATAATTGGTGCTGAAAGCTATATTCTATAATTAATTTTACAACTAATCCTTGTAAAAAGAGGGGTATTCAAAAATATTATTTCCACACAACTACGATTTTTCCTTTCATAATAATCCAACTTATATATATTGTCGATTGCTCTGGCCATAGAAATCTTATGTTTTAAAATCATACAAGAGTGATAAATATTTAAATAAGTGTGACAATTGAAGGAACAAACAAATTACTAATATGTATCACATTTTATGCAAAAAGTAGACGAATTACAAATGTTCTTGTAGGTTCTATTTATATATTTATTAATTTTAATTTATACATAGAAATCGAAAATTTGAAAGAGAATATATTATACTTAAAACATACAATTAATTTTCAATACTTTTAAATCAATTTCTGAATAATATTTTAATACTTTTAAATATTTTTTAATATTGTAAAACTGCTCTTTTTTTTATTTATTTCAATTCGTTTATTCTTCATCTTTTACAGGATTTTTTAACAATTAAATTTTTTTATTTAAGAGATTACCATTATTTGTTAATTTTAAGTTAATTTTTTTAAAGTAATTTAACAGACACAAAATATTGTTACATTTAATTTTCGTTTTTTTATTTATTTGTTCCTTCAAATGTTAACAAATATTCAATCTCAAATATTGTTAATTTTTGTGTGTTTTATTATCTATTTAGAACGAATATCTATAGACGTTTGTTTAGTCCTGGCACGTGAAAGATCAAATTTTTCGATCTAGATTTGTAAATTGTTAGACAAAGTTATTTTCGAGATATGTGTGTATGTGTATGTATATATATACACACATATATATATATATATATATATATATATATATATGTATATATATATCACATTAGACACTACCTATCTATATAACTATCTTCTATAAATAATCGCGATTTTTTGTCATCACTGTAGTCATAAAAGTATAGAACTATATCTGTCATCACTTTTTCATGCGATTTCTTTTAGCTACGAAGAGAGACACTAAACTTATTTCTCGATACGACTACACTTTATGTTTGAAGAATAATCTTCCAATATGATAAAATACTCTAGAAATATACTATTTCTTTAACAAAGGCATTATAAATCACCAGTATTGCTATACAAAAATTGTATAACAACCGGAACACCGCACGGTTGCTTATTTGCATTATACCACGAATCGTACAAAGTACATGTGCAATCTTCGAAACTAGCTAGACAATTTACAAAACTGAACGCAAAGGGTGTAATTATAAAAGTAAACGTTGTGGTTTGCCTATATAAAATTGCAGTTTCATCGAATTATTAGTCTTAATTGCATATCATTATAACTCGGATTGCATACCACATTATCTATTAATTCTTGGTTCCTTGGATGATCTATATAATATGTGTGTGTAATATACATGTAATATTCTATTGTATGTACGTACAAATATTGTACGAATATATATAGATATAATATTGTGCACATGTTGAATCGAGTGTATATATATATATATATATATATATATATATATATGTATATGTGGAGATTATAATCATTTTCTCTCCAATGATGTGATTATTCTAATTGTATAATTTACTTATACTATATATTTAATTTTATAATATAGCTATATGCATACTCATCATCGTATTAAATTATCAAATAAATATTTATTTGCTTAACGTAAAAATATGTTAAGATTTCTTTAGATGATTTATATATACATAACTCACGACAAAACTTAAGACAGAAATCTACTTATATAATTCTATATATGACATATTTTAATATATCCTGATGTATATTTTGATTTGTATATGTATATATATATTTTACATGTTCAAATGTTTTTTGTAATCGACATATAAAATTTATAATTAGAAATTCTGTCTTGAATTTTGAATTAAGTGATAAATTATATAAGTCGTCTAAAGTCTAAGGAGATTCTTATGTGTATGTATAAAAAACAAAAAAGATCTCTACGCATGAGTGCTGAATACGCGATGAGAATACAAAAGCTATACAGCATATGAATGATATATATCTACTATAACATATTTGTCTAAATAGTTTGTATGCAAGAATTTAGTACTAAATATATTTAGAATAAGAAATATATACTTCAAGAGAGCCTGGATAACTTTTGCATTATTTAATTGGAGAAGCAAAAAACTTCTGAAAAAGAATAATTATCTCCACCAACTGCTGTGTATTTGCGCAAACGCAGTTGAGCGCATACAATAATCAAACGATTTCAAATTTATTCCAGTCCTGTATAAATGCAAAATTCCAGTCCTGTATAAATGCAAAGTTTTCCCACAATATGCGTCTGCTAGCGGTCGAGTGCCGAGAATAACAATAGTATATGTTAAATGGTTGAGAATATAGTATTATCTTGGGGGAGTACCAGATCATATGCAATAATGCAGTATCTGTAATATTGTTAATCTTGATTGCTAGCAAGCGCTTAAAGTGCGAAGACATATCAATCATAAAGAAATATTGATTTCCACGTTTTGTGAATAAATAATATATGAAGAGCAATTATTGTTTAAAGTTTTTAAAGTTTTGCAAACATTTCTATCGCTATTCAATCTCTTACATATATGTATATATATCGTGTATCTCTATTATATCATGTAAATTATTGTTACTGGGGGTTTTCATTACTCGTTGACATCATTCCATCATAAGTATATATATACCTATATATGTATATAAGATGAAATAAATTATACCATTTTGACTAGAATATTTGACTAGAATATTTCGACTGATTAGGATATGTATGATAAGATATGACAAAAATCATTATTAAGTCTCATAAGTCGAGTTATTGTATATACTCTCGATTAATATAGCGATTAAGCTCACAATGCAGTAATATGGTTTCTCTCATTTTCTTTTCTGGCCTATATGTGAGGGACCGATAATGTACGTACTTGTATATTATGATCTATATATAGATCGAATTTGTAGGCCGATGTCTACAAAAACATTTTTTCATCTATACCAATAAAAATATTTTGTATCGAATAGATCACTATTAAAATATATCTACTAATCGAATCTAAATTAACAATAAATAAATTATATTAAAAATTTTACATAGAAATATAAGTTCTTCCTTTTACAATTGATAAAGTAGAGATTCAATATATTGAATTTCTATACTCATGGTATACTCATTAACATTGAAAAAGTTATCTATTTATTAATAATCGAAAAAATATCAGATATCACATAAAAAGAAAATTTGGTTAAATAGGCTCTTTGTTCTCACTCATTAAGGGTTTTTTAGAAAATATCTAGACTAGACATTCTACGTTCTAGGACTATGCCTTCAATGACGTTTTGATTGAGTATAAGTCGAAAAACTGAAGGCACGTCCTCGATCGAAAAAGGCGATTCTCGCGCCTACAAGAAAAATTACAATCATTATCTAACATTAAACCTCAAGTGCAAACTCGTACAATCTCATATTCTAATAATTCATCGTTTTTAAATATTAACTTGTACTTAAAATACATGTAGAGATCATGAAGACTAGAGAGTGCAGACGAAGTCAAACAAAAAATATTGCTAATTTAGGTAGCTAATCGATTATTTACAAATGCAACTGTGTTGAATTACACAACGTAATGTTATACTTTCGCACATGTTAAAAGATTGTACATGTAATGAAATTGATAAAACGTACGAATTAGATAAGTTTTACTGTCGTCATCACGCGAACTTATCGGACAAAATTCCCCAAGTTTGCTTAGCATTATTGAACGATGATATTTTTGCATGAGATGATAATATTTAATGCACGCGAATTTATGCTCCTGTTTCTAGTCTTCATAATAAAGATTTTGATAAGTTTTGAGGTGGATCTCGTTCATTTTATTCGAGATGACCAATAAACTATAATATTCTTTTATTGAAATTAATTTATAATTGCTTTCTTTTTTCCCTTTTTTTCGGTCTTTGCCTGTCATATGGAAATCAAAATTAATTAACTTGTTTAAAATAATCTTAAAAATTGCGTTCAATTAAATGACTTTGTAGCGGTTGATCTTTAAATAACGTTAATAATGCCGCTATAATCAAAGGCAAACAAGTTTTTTTGCGATTCGACAAATGAGTCGTTACCAGATGCTTTAGAAACTTTCATCGATGCCTCGATCCCGCGCTAAGTTGAAAACTTCAAAGTCGCTGTCGGGCGCCTCGGGTATATCAGGTGCGAGCAAAATCTCAGGTCGCAATGCCACACAGTCTCTCGGTGAGCACTCGACGCGCCCTTCGGAGCCGCAGCTGCATTCGACGCAGTTCCCGGTCGAGTGCGGTAGAGTCTCACCTTGTCGATACTCTCTCCCTATAATTCAAGTTTCACGATACATACAAATCTCATAAAATATTTGAAAAGAGATGGATATACATATACAGGTATACAGGATATAAAAGTAAAAATGTTATAAGAAACAAAATTAAATTTTAAAAAGTCCCTAAACATATTCTTATAATAATAGTTTTAATGTAAAATTAGAAAGAAATATGATAAATAAAAATTTTAAAATTTTGTTAACATTAGAGATTGTGTGTAAATATATTTATAAAAAAAATTGTATATTATATGTAATTTTAAAATATTAAATTGTACTTTTAAAAAAGAATATGTTTCGACTGATATAAATTAATATAAAAAGACATAAATGATATAAATTAATATTAAAGTATTAAGAAAGGCATTAATTTTATACCCATGACGAGGCAAGTAATCGGTACAGGAGACGTAATCGACAGAGTGGCATTAATTTCTACATGTCCTTGCTGACCAATCGATGAATCAGAATCTCCGGAAGCTTGTAAGTCGTCCGCAACGTCCGTACTCATCTCTAGAGATGAAGTATAATTGCTCTCCACCGCAGTCGATCGCAAGGAAGACAAGCCGAGCGATGGGGGCACCGTCGCCGGATTATAATTCTGCCACCAACAGTAAACTTCGCCGACGACACATAGGCAATGCGAATTCGTGTCGTAAGATGGTATCTGAAATGTAAAAATCTATTGAGCGAAGAATCTGTAAAAATTCTATCTTTTTTAAGAGTCAAAATAAAGAGAGATACAATAATTAAACGCGATACAAATACATACATAGCGCTGCACATTATATGCGCGTGTTTATTTAAGTTAAAAATATGGAAATGTACAAAAATAACATTAATTTATCTTTTTTCGATATTTTACATTTCTTTCTTTACGTTATAGTTATAGGAAACAGCTATATATGTATACTATATATACATACACATCATACTAATCAAACTCATTTAGTCAATTTAGAAAATAAATTGGCAAATTTACGTGACAACAATGGCTAAAAATCTACCACAAATGACAAACTGAAAATCTAAGAATTATATGTGAATCATATTTGAATTAATGAGAACGATTGATTTACGGAATTTTTGATGAAGAAAAGGAATGAAAATATCACATCATAAATATCGGTATTTTTTTTAACTATAAATATAATTAAAACAATTTCGGAGAAAATTATGTAACCATTAATTTATCATACGGAATCTATTAGCAAAAAATGTATAATATCGAATGAATGTTGTCGTAATATATCACTAAAACTAACATTTTACTTGAATTGTGATTTGTCGATACTATTTCAATAATTGTGGACCACTGTGGTACACGATTTAATAATTTTTTATATGTAAATATAATACATTTCTTATTATTCTCGATGAGAAATTTTTATATACATATAAATATCGTTTTTATTTCTTTTCTTTTTTGTTATATATTTATCTGTCGAAAATTCCGGAAATAAATTTATCTCTATTGTCTCTATCACATTTAATCGATCATTACCGTTTGGCTGTGAGAATAGGCATTTCCGTCTACGATGCATTTTTTAAGAAAAGGCTCTTGCGTTGTGACATCGTCGTCTTGAAGCGTAATAGCGACTTCACCCAATAAAGCCGGATCCGTCGTTCTCGTCGGTGCTGCAATCAAAATCAAAAGTGAGAGACCATCAGTGACTGAAAGATTGAATAAAAGTCTTTATCTCTTGAGTGTCTTCCGATGGAAAAAAATTATAACATCCATTATTATCTTTAATCTCTGATGTCGAATTTTCTTCGACTTGAATCTCTAATATAAATCTATATTCCTTTTTAATTTTTGATTTTAAGCAGAAATTTTTTCACAAAACAATTAATTGTCAAAAACATTCGCATGATTCAAAGTCTAAGACATCAAATTTCCATTTCCTTTCTATAAGAGAGTATGGATTCTTGTAAAAAGTAAAGAAATGTAAATGAGCAATTACGGATTCGTTCGATTGTACTTTGCGCTAAAAAATGACTCGCGCTATGAATTATTCCCATGTTATTCTTCGAGAAATCTTTTCTTTTTAAGAATAATCTTTTACGAAGTAAATATTTGTTCTTTGCTGTATAACTTTCTCGCTTTCGATGGTGATATAAACTCCGTTAAAGTAAAATCGAACACCTATTCAAAAATGAAGTGCCAAATTAACCGCTTCCGTTAATCGCTCGATAAATTACGCTACTTTAATGCAAGAATGCGACGAGAATGGTAGCTATTTCTCGTCGAAATATTGACCTTTCAAAGGCTAACTTATTCGCCGACTTAACGAATGTGCGGGCATTAATCAGACGTCTTTGCAAGAGCATAGCGAGGCGAAGCAAGGCAAGGCAAGGCAAGGCCAAATGTTCCGTCTCCTTGAAAGCTTTCAAGAGAATCGAAGAACCGAGAGGTGGTTGCGGTATCACAATAGCGTAAAATAGAACGAAGCATCACTTGAAAGACCGACCCTTTTACCGTGCCTTTCCGCTTCGTCGCACCTCTATTACTTCATATTTATTCAAATACCAAACAAATGACTTTATACTTGAACCAACATCATGAGAGTGCTATAAAGTAAAATTAATATGGCACGATGTATTTCTATTTTTATCTTGTATAATTTAATCTATATACTTTAATCAATTAAAGCGAAGAATTAAGTTATAACTTACTTAAAATCATGTAAATCCACAAATTATAAAATTATTATTTATAATTTTAATCAAAAGATTAAATTAAATTAAATAGCAATATGCAGCGTATTTGGTGTAATGTTTAATACATTATTATACATATTATATAATCTCTTATAAAAAATAATATAATTTTTCTCGAATCTTTGTTTGTGAAATAATTCTATTCATGTTCAATTTATTTTTCAATAAAATATTATTTCTTTGCCACTCGTTGTGCAACGATTTCGTATATGCATTATGCGGAAACATTTTTGACGATAAAATAATTTTTGAATTTCCAAACAAATGTTTTCGTATACATTCGTGCTAGTTAAAAGAGCATAATTATATTATATGTCAGCACTTGAAAAATAAATTGTATTATATAAACATAATAATGCAAGACATCCTATAGCTATATGTTACATTAGTCAGATGTAATTTGTAGAATTATTAAATGAAGATGCCTGCTTGAAAAGATTTATAGGTTTACAGAGAACATGGAAATGCACTAAAATATTCGAGTATTTATTTTATTTCTTGGGATAAGCAGAGTAAAATAATTATCATAGTCATATTATTTTAACAAAATTTTATACATTTAATCCAAAGATTACGAGATCATTTCGTTATTGTAAAATTGTTAAACATAATAAAATATTAAACAACGATAAGATTATATCAAGTGACATCATCTGTTTCAAATTTTAATTGCTCCGTATATAATAACTATAAATATGTAAAATTTCTATAAATTTACGAAATCTTTATTTTTTGAATAACATTTACATTTTCTTCCTTGTATGTGCTCAAATAATTTTTAAATTTATAAATTACGCGTATAGCACCGTTATCGCAAATATTATAATATACAAAGCTATGCGAGCTACAAAGATTGTGTGTTGAGAATAAATGGCATTATCACAGTGGTACACGCGGCTGTGTGCCAATCACAGGTATCGATCATCGGATCTGTCAATCTCATGGATGACCGCTGGACCGCAGCTACTCTCTCTCTCTCTCTCTCTCTCTCTCTCTCTCTCTCTCTCTCTCTCTCTCTCTCTCTCTCTCTCTCTCTCTCTCTCTCTCTCTCTCTCTCTCTCTCTCTCTCTGTCTCTTTCTCTCTCTCTATCTCTCTGGCGCGCGCGCCTGACTACCTTATTCGTTACGATATATACAGAGTAGTTCATATTATCGATCATACTACTAAATATATAATGAATACAACTAAAAATGTCTTTACATGAAGAAATAAAAAATCAAACATGTAAAATAATACATATTTATACATAGCTTTATTTTAGAGAAATTACCTTTGAAAATTGAACGATTAATAATATTCTGACGCTTCTTTAATTTAGATCATCTTTAATCAGTTTGCATCACACGTCGTCGAATTCGTCTCGAAATAGTTATCTCTTAAAAAAAAAAAATAAATAAATAAATAAAGCCAATCTTAATACTTTTATACATAACTCCTTAAAGTTGTTAGATCTTCATATCTTATTTAAACTATTTTATTAAAAAGTAAAATGTTACTTTTTCATGCGTTAATAATTGTCAAGACAAGTTCAATGGCTATAGAAACAATTCAAGTTTATAAAAAGCGCAAGTTTATTACTTATTTTTTAATTTTACAAGTTTTTTCTTCAGGAATAAGTTTTGTATTAATAAAAAGATGTTATATTTTCAATTTTCAATTATTTTTGTATGCATAATGATTTTTCGATTGTATTATGGTACAATTATAAATTACAATATACATACCGATATACGTATGATACAATCCGATAAACCATATACGGTATAATCCAATATCCAAAGACTTGGATCATTTGTGCATATCACAGAATCGCTTCTAGTTTAATTGGCCACAATCGGTTTACCAAAACATCGTCATAAATTCTCCATATTCGCGCAATATATAATTACCAACAAATAATAATTACACGTGTTATTACTATTTCATTGCGCTATAATTTTAAAACACGATCAATTTCGTTATATATATAATAATAAAATAAAAAGATTGAATTGTGTAATAATACATTTTTCTCGAAAAAAATTTTAATAACAACTTTTTTCGACATTTTATATGTATGCCTAATCTTTTTTTCATAAAATAATTAAATAAAGCTTTATATAAATTGAGAAAAATTAAATAAGATATAACGGCGCATGATCAAGATTTTTATTATTCCGATTTGATATAGCTGTTAGTATGTAAATTTGAGCTATAAAATATTAATACTCTATATAAAACAAAAAGAACATTTTTTAACAATTAAAGTTTCTCATCTTGACAGCATGAATTTACATATTTCGAAACTTCAATTTATCTTCATTATCATTTCGATTAATCACTGTCTTGGCACGCTACAATAACGTTCGATGCTTCATTAGTATAGTCAACGTGCTGTCACGTCAATGATGGATATTAATTCGATATGGAGAAATCTATATCTGATTTGTTCTTGATTTACTTCAGTGACTTTGTAACAGCAATACACAACTCAACGATATATCATCGATTTAAATACTTTTCTCTATCGACTGAAAGAAATTAAAGATTCGAGAAGCATTTTTTATTAAAACATTTTTATCAAGATTTTAAAACAATTGATTTCAAAAAAAATTGAGTCACACAGAAATATATATTGCTATCGTTCAATCGTCTATTAATTCAAATGCAATATAATATTTGGCTGTTTGAAGTCGAATTGATAGATTTCTTATGGTGTACATTCATAAATAAAATTAGTTAAAAAAAATACTAATATAATAATTATTACCTAAGCAAACTTGTACAATATTTTATCGTGGAGTACATTTGATCGAATTGTCGAATATTTTCACCGCAATAAAATTTATTAAAATATTTTATTGATATGGAAACATAAATTTTGAGAATAATTTGTCATTTTTTTCTAGTATTATAAAATATTGATATCATTTTTATATTAAAAGAATGACTTGCAGTGAGTGTTACACTATCAAAAAGAGCTAATTCTATGTATATATAAAGCTTTATCGTATAATTTTACTTTGATATGATTTGTATTTAACAAAAAGCATTTAAAAAATGACATAATTAATAAAGTTATTTGTATTTTTTATTTATTTTCGAATAATTGAAACGGTTTTGTGTTATATTGTTCAATTCATCTCGAGTGCGATTAAATACGTACCAAATTTCTAAATTACATAAAATCGGAGACTGGTCGATATTTTACTGTAATCGGAGCACAGATCTTCTATTTACCTTCGAGAAACTGTCTCTGAATTTAAATCTTGAAAAAGAGTGAGATAAGAATGAGAAGCAGCGAGGCAGAGTGACAGTTTATAAAAGGAGCTGGTTTTGGTTTTCAGATCAAATAAAGTCGAGCTGAATTCGATGACGTAGAACATAAAAGATTAAAACTTTTATTCTTCCGAGAGAATAAGAATTCTATGTCAAAAAATTAAAGTGATTTTGATAATTCGTATACAAAAATTTCTTTAGTTATACTTTAATAATTTTAAATTACTAAAATTAATCTTCAAATAACTTTGAAGAACAAAATAATTTCAAATTCAAATTGATATTATCAGATAAATGCTTAAAAACAAAGTAATTTCTCAAAGTTTTTCCAATCTTCTATACATATCTATCTATCTATATATATATATATATATATATATTTACATTACATTATTACTGATTGTGAGATATATGTGTGTATAATCTATTATAAGAGGGAACAAGGGGAGAAAGGACACGATTGACACATGCTAACACTTGAATCAAACACTGTATATAGAATTTTTAAGTAATTATGTGCTGAAATAAATTTGATTAGTAAAATTTTGCAAAATGTTTTTGGGTGACACCGACAGAGGCAAAATAAAAAACACTTATTTAGAGCAGTTTGTCGGGCATGTATGTAGTTATACGTTGTGGCATGCCTGGGGCACTTGGG